TGCTGGTTCTTGGGATTTCACTGGATCACAGTCAGCAAGTGGGTAAAACAATTCTGTATCCAACACCACTTTGGAAAATGGCAAAGCTACTTGTGTTTAACACAGATATCCCGTCTCCTTCCATTGCTAGAAATCCCACTACTTTGCAGTGGGCACAGACAGAGTAAAATCATAGTATAACAAGAGGAAGCTAAGCAAACAGAGGAAATACATCAGAAATCTGATTTAGGTCTCTGTTCAATCAATCAGAGCAAAAATACATTTGTGAAAAGATCTTTCATTTAAAAATCAGCCTGTGCAGACTAAAAGACCATACTTAGTCATCTTAATGGATCGAGGCCTTATCTTTTCCATTCACCTACCCTCTGTTCCCTCCCACTGCACCCATATTCAAAACAAGTTAACTATTCAGAAATCTCCATACAGCTTGGAGAAATTGAGCCTTCAAGAATGTGTTTTGCATACCATGAAATGCACTTGCAGCTGCAGTCCCCAAAGTATTCTCTGAACTACAGAAATATGCCCCCAATGACATGCTGTTTGAAACACTGAATATGGAAACTAAATTTAAATATTGTTATGGTTTGTTTGCTATTGACTCAGGCTTTCATACTCATCCCTGTATTATTTGCTAACCTCTCATACATCAGATGTTGTCAAAACAAATTTAAATCATATACAAATTATTACAGTTGTGGCACAAAGAGACAGCATTCCAAGGAAAAGACTGATGCACTGTCTAACTCATGCTATTATAACATGTTTTCTAACATGCTGGGGGTGACACCATGATGCCAGAAGTACCATCTTTCAGAGAATATAAAAGCAAGGCCCTTACCACTTGCAGTCATTAAAAAACCCTGTGACATGTTCACTTTTATAGCTGTTTGCTCTGGTGCCCTGCCAAATTTGGGAAGTTACACGGTCTGTTAAATAATGCTCGCAGTTTCCATCCTATATAGTGTTTACTTTCTGTCCTAAACTGTTGGGTATTTGTTGTTTGAATTGTTAATGATCATACAAATATTTCAGCGGTGGGTGAAGTGGTTCCTATATATATATATATATATGGTATGTAGTGCATTTTGGGATGGCAGATGCCACAGAAACAA